GGTTTAAGAACCACAGGATGAATCCACGCGGGCAGTGGTCTCAGCCTTCTGATCTAATGAGCAAAACAGCTCTATGTGAACAAGAATAATGGCTGCAAACACAACCATCAGTAGAGTAAAAGGATCTCAGTGGTTTAGTCCAGGTACACAATTTTTTTTTCCTGAAGAAATGACCTGGAGGGTATTGAGCTGATGCAACCACTGCCTTAAGTTACAAAGGGTACAACAGACCTTTTTGCCCTCGCTTTACATTGAGAAATTCTGATAAAACCATTAATTACTCCCTTTTCCCTTATCTCCCAATTGTTTACTTCACCTCAAACTTCATCTCACTACAATTACAAAACCTCCATCACCACACAACAATTTTAAGGAAGAGCAGAACAGGGAATAACAACTCCTCCACATTAATGTCAGTAACCGTCTGGTCAGTTAAATCACTTAGCTCCAGGTGCCCATAGTACAACAGCAATCTATTCAGAACAGCTGTGTGTGCAGTTGCAGACCCACCTCCTTCAGCTGGATTTGAGCACAACTCAGAGAGCTCCAGTAAGTTTCTTAGCTTTGGTTCTTAGCTTTGCTTGCTGGAAAAACTGGAGAGGCACTCTCCCAAACACCTCCCACTTACAGCATCAAAGTGAGATATCACTCACAGTAAATTTTACAGTATGAGGAATGAAACAGTTAGCAAAGTTGACATTTAAGCCATCATCACTGGCTATGATTAAATACCTCGGAGATGAGCAGAGTGGTTCACACCTCTCCAAGTTATTGTTCTAGGCTCTTATCAGACTCCCATACACCGCTGCATTAGCTGCATTCGACACACTTGAGATTTTCTTTGAATCTGTAATGGTTGGAAACCTGTTTAGACAGAATCTGGAGAGTTTCTGATAGTGTTAGTATGGCAGAGAGACAGAAACACAGGCTAACTTCCTGAACTGCAGATTCACCCCTGAAAGGTTCAGGCAGATTAATAACACAAGCGCAGCCAAACGGGCTCCTTCTTCCTCTCCTTCTCTCATCACTGTCGGTACAGTGCAAGGAAATGAAACACTATCTAGAAATAAATGGCAAATAACCTGCAAGAAGCACGGAGGGCAGACTGGAGCACAACACTTCCCCAAAAAAATCTCTATTCTGAAGATAGCATTAAGCTCAGGGTATGCGTGCAACACTGGGAAATGCACGCTTGGACCATCATCAAAGCCACGCCAATGTGAGCTAACCTGCCCAACCTCAGCTCCAAGAAATGTGTGCACAAAGCAGCTCCTTGCAGTGCCATGTGCTGTGTGGTCAGCAGCAGGGAGCCAAGCAACCTAGAAGATGGGAACTCCTGAAAGAATTACTACTAGTGCAACACAGGTGAGAACTGTTCCATGTTTAGCTTCATAATGGCTAAGTCAACATCCCCATCTTCCCAGAGTCTGTTCTGCTGCATATATTTAGCACAGGGAAATACCAGCACACTTTGTTACTGCTAACAGCCGTCATGTGTGGGATACCCTGAGCACAGAGCTGACAACATTCCCCTCCAGCCCAGCAGTCAGAGACTGCAGGACAGCCATCCTAGGTTGGGAACAACGCAGGAGAGATGGGGGAGCAAAGGAAACCAGTCCTGAACTGCAGAAGGCACTCAGAGTACAGTAAGAGAGGAGTAAAACAGCAAGGTTTCTGATGGGCCAGACAGAAACAGTGTTTCAGGCAGCGAGCACTGAGCATCACTTTTGCTAGAGAAGGTAATGTTTGTGTACACCGAGAGGAAAACAATACAATGGCTGATACAGTATTAAAAGCATATATACAAGATATCTAAATGTTTAATCTGGGCAAATCAGAATTCTCACAGTAGTATTTAGCTGATTTTTTTTCTTTTTTTGTAAGAAATAAGATTTTTTTCCCCTTTTCTCTGTATGTAAAGCTCAACTAAAAGCCCATTCTCCCCAAACAGAGCTCACTGTGCTGTTACGTGTGCTGACTTTTAAAGCTAGCCAGTTTCACGAGGAGCAGAATAACCTCAGGTTATTACAATTAGATTCATCTCATTAATAGATCAATTTCTTTCAAGTGCACCGAAAACTGAATTTTTACTTTGTTGCTTCTCCTTTTAGCCTACATTATAGTCTGTGTTCTTAAGTTTTAAGGAGAGCCATCACAGAACAGGTTGTAATCTCAGGTGATTAATTGCATAGCATTTTACAAGCTGTAAAACAGAGCGAGATCCCCACACTGTGATGATGCCATTTAGCACTGCTATCCCATTTCCCCATAACCATCAGGGCTGTCTGAGACTGCAACTCTGAAGTATTTATACATTTCAAAGGTTTGCTTATTTTCTGTTGTTAAAAAACTCCAAAATCTATATTGATTGTTACATGCAATTCTACACGAGAAGTCTGGGGAACCGTGGTGCTGAATACCAGTATTTATTACCAAACTCACGCTCATTATGGTTCTCTTTGACAGGGGTCCATTAAAATCAATTTTTATGTTTCTTATGGTTTTTTTTTCCCCTACCCAATCTTCTTACCATAGTGTTTATTAGCCAGTTAGCAGAAACACTGGGCGCTGTTTTCTTTTTATTTTATTCTGTCAAAAATAATGAGGCCAGATTTAATAGCTATTCACTAGCGATGAGTAGAAGAGATTAAATGTTATACTTCAGCACAAACATTTACTGAGGGCTTTAAAATGTTTAGAACTTCATTGCTGGTTAAGACAAAAGGAAGTCCCACCTCCCATCCACGTTTCAGATTTAAGTTCCTGTAGTAATAGTAAGGATATTCTGCTTGCTGTTAACTACTGGATCACTCTTTGGTAATACTCCCTCTGCAATATAACTGTCACACACGAATCCCACAACCTGATAGGTTTAAGTGCTATTGAGATGCTACTAGAGCCTCATCACTTCCAGGAGGACAGAAAACTACAGCAGCCAACCATGGCTGGCTGTATCACCACCAGACAGAAACACAGAGAATTAGGAAAAGAACTGACATCCTCTGACTGCTGCCCAAAGAGCAAAATCAGCAGATCCTTCCCCAGCCAACCCAGCTGTACGACATCAGCAAGCAACAAACCCTATCAACAAGGAAAGCAGAAGCTCACCTTGCACAAGACAGCCTTGCTATACAGCTAGGCTTGCTTAGGGACAGCTGTGACACAGGAGCATCTTTCATTTGTGCAGGAATGAGTAAAGGAAGCAGTGTGTGTTCTGAGCATACACACACATATTTTCCTGGAAAAAAAGTCTGTGTGACTGAAAGTCCAATTCCTCTGCTCAGCCTTCCCCCCAGCTCTAATAACATCATACCATCCCCAAAAACATTGTGCAGAAAAAGGGACGGCGAGCCATTATGTGAAACGTTAAAAGCCTCAGCATTAAAGGTAAGAGCCATGACAAGAGACCTTTGCTCTTCTCACCCAGCAGAACCACACACTCACCCAGCACAGCACCTCCTCCCCAGTCACCTTTGTGGCCTTCACCAATCAATGGCCTTGAATTATGTTCATCCAATACTGCAGCAGTTCACTTGAAGCCTATTTCTCTTAATACCTGTAATCTCATGACTGCTTTTGTTTTAATGCAATTTCCTTTATTTCTACCAACGTGTAAAACCACATTTCTTACATTCACCATGTTTGAGCACATAGAGCTTCCTCCTGCTATCCTGCCATCCTCTCTCTGACATGTTCTCTTCTCAAAGGTGAAGAGCCGTCACTTGCTTTAGATGTTCTTCAGCCAGAAGCTGTCCTGTAGCAAAGGCGAGCTTCAACTCTGTCCTAAATACCATTTTACTCCCATTCCTCATCAGCAGAAATCCAATACTGCAATCAGCATATGAAGGAAACTCAAGTACTGATTTCCATATCACTGGAGTTGGCAAAACTGTCAAATCCAGAGGCTTGAGGGTTTTAGAATTAGAGGAAAAAACATATTTCAGCCAGAATTCACATTATGCTTTGTATTTGTGATTAATGCTATGCACACTTAAAGAGCTACAAGGGTAATAAAATAGAAAAACAGAAAAAGAGGAAATGCTACAAATCAAAGGAAAAGTTATCAAGTGAAAAGCAGAGCAGGGAGGACAACATGGAGAGTAGGAAATAAAACCTGTTTGAGTCCTACCAGAAAAAAACCACACTGCAAAGGCCGCAGCTCATTACCAAAAACACCATGGCAAACATTGCAGCTTCATCACCAGAAAACAGCTGAAGAAACAAACCTCAGCAAGCTGTACTACTAAGTTCAGTTTTGGCAGAGGATTTGGCAAAGAACTTTGGTATCTGCAACATATGTGATCTGGCATAGCAAAACCACACCAGAAAAGGAACATCCCTAAGAAAGACCTCTGTAGTCCTTCTAAAAAGTCAGCTTTTCCTCATGAACAAGGAAAAAAAACACAGACAAGGAGAGTCCAAACAGCACAATATTTTACCAGACTGAAAAGCACGTCTACTCAACCATAAAACCAAAAAAAAAAAAAATAAGGTACCAACACCTCCTCCAGTCTTGCATTTGTGGCATTACCTCTCCTAACATAGATACCTTTGTTGTGAGAACTTCAGGAGACATTATAAACATGACAAACCAGAGCTCTCTTTAGCAGCTTCCATGACTAATCACTCAACCTTAGTTCTGCCTGTCCGAGCACACACATCTAGATACAGGTCTACAAAGCAGACACAGCAGTGTTACTCCTCAGTGACACGTTCACACACGTGTCCAAAATTAGGGAGAAGGAGTTACCTTCACAGTGTATTTAAAGAACACTTGTCTCAGCTTGGTTTCTTAGCTGTATTGAAGTCACAGAGAAAGAAACGCATTTGAGATGTGCCATTCCTTGACAGTGCTGGAGGCTGCTTTGCTCTCCCAGGGAAAAGCACTATACTTTCAACGTGGCTGGTGCAAAAAAAAGGCACACACAGCCTGCCTTAGATCCTCTGGGCAATCTGTTTACTGCTCGCTCAAACACAGGATCGATAGAACACGAACTTACCCATTTGGCAGCACACTCAGTTTGGGGAGTTTAATTTCGTGTACTCCTGTTTCACACCCTGATATCTCCAGTTTTCCCACAGGGCTGAGCAGAACCACGTGCTTCTCCTGGCACTGTGATGCTCCCTCCTTGGAAGTCACCTGTTCATAAAACCAAATGACTGTCACTGGGCATGTTCTCACCAAAGAGCATTCATCTCAAGATACATCGTGCAGTTTTCAAAAGCAACTCGGAAAAAGATAAAGAACCATGGAATTTCAAGTTTCTTTGACTACACCTTTAGCTAACTTAGAATGATCCATCCTAAAAAGCCATTAACTCAATCAGTCCCGGAAAAAAAAAGTTAGAAGAGCAGCAACCTTCATAAAAGTCACAGGCAATGGAAGCTTTGTGGCTGGTTCAGCAGTAATGCCTGACATGAAGTGTTCTGACGCCAGTATCAAAAGAACAATCATGACAACAGAGCACAGCCACTGGCTCCCAGCAGCAGCGCTATGCAAATAGCTGCTGAAACACAAACAGAACGTGTCTGCTGGAAAAACATGAAAAAAAATCATTCCTTAGTAAAAACAACAATTTTTACTCCCGTTGTTACCAGGCTGGCTTTACAGTTACTGATAGGATATGTTTCCAACTCCATATCGCGGATTTTTCAGTATTGTTCAAGACCACACCAAAAACATTCACATTAAATTCACCGCGGCTTTACCCTCTGAATCTGGAGCTGCTCCAGTTGGAACTGGAAGATTGCTAAGAAAGGACAGAACACATTCATCGCAGTCACCCAACACCATGTCAGGATCACACCACAATGGGAACATCACAGAATCACAGAATTGTTGGGTTGGAAGGGACCTCAAGGATCATGAAGCTCCAACCCCCTGCCACAGGCAGGGCCACCAACCTCCACATTTCACAGCAGCCCAGGCTGCCCAGAGCCCCATCCAACCTGGCCTTGAACACCTCCAGGGATGGACGGGGCATCACAGCCTCTCTGGGCAGCTGTTCAGCACCTCACCACTCTCATAGCAAAGAGCTTCCCCCTGACATCCAACCCGAGTCTTCCCTCCCTCAAGTTAAAACCATCTCCCCTTGTGCTGCTGTTATCCACCCTTTCAAAGAGTTGATTCCCCTCCTGTTTGTAGGATTCCTGGTCAACCTGGTGAGGGCAGGAACTGGATATACTCCTCCAACCCAAGCTTCTATGAAGGTAAGAACGATGCAAACAGACCAAAAGGACCTCTACTGCAAAGAGCAACCAGAAGCTAACCTGACAAACAAACAGCCTGCTTACATTCTGGAAGACCAGCGAGGTTTCTTGAGTTTTAACACCACTTTGATCATATGGCTAACCTGCAATTTACTTCATACTTCCAGAGACAACAGCACAAGCTTATTTTCACTATCATCTGTACAAACGTACAGTCTGAGCAAAAGCTCTGTGAAGTCTGCCCAACCTATGACCAAGTTGCCTTATAAAAAAAAAAAAAGAAAAAAAGATGAGATTACCAGTTCCTACTCCACATTTTGAACCTGTTCAAGTTTTCAAGTTCTGCTTCTTTTACTTTAAGTACTTTAAAACAACATTTCCATTTTTTCCCAGGCAGGGAAAAACTGACTGGCAGCTCTCACACCAATTACACTGAGAAAATGTCTGCTGATGTTGCAGAGAAATCCACCTTTTGAACCAAGCTCTCCCTTGCTCCATCTCCTTGCTTAAGGAGTGGAAATGGATGAACTTTTGGGGAGCAGCACCTCACTGCAGAAATATTAATAAAAAGAAAAACCAACATACTAGCTCACATATTTGAAAAGCAGCAGCATACATTCTTCATTTTTATTTGTGTGACAGCCCTCAACTAGATGCACTGAACCTCATACTATGTATTCTGTGAATACAACAACTTAGTTATACAAGGACAGCTTTTTCATTATAACAAAACACAGGATGCAGCACGTAACAGAACACTATAAATAACCCTCTGCGTAAAATCCAACTTGAAGTAAGCTTTGTAGATGAAAACCTTGAGTAATCACTACTATGTTCAGCCTTGTTTATCAGATGCACCGGGCAGCAATATTAGAAGTTTTATTTTTATAAACCTGCACAAGGAATCCACATACATATGCAATTGGGTTGGGAGCTTCAAACATGAAGGTCACTGTACAGAAGCAGAGAACAGCATACTTTGTTCAGACGTAAAAATACCTTTGTACTAATTAAATAATCAGGAAGTAAGGATACACCACTGTAGGCGAAATTGTAATCAAGATTTAAGTTTGTCACAAGTTTGCAGATACAGATAAGCAGACTTGAGATGCTACCAGCTGAAGTCACCCAATGCTTGGGCATCGTTGACTGCTGGCAGCTGGACACACAGCTTGCCCTGCCTGCATGGCTCTGCTGAAGCTGTGAGAATTAGAAATCATAGGCAACTTAAAGCAGAAACGTAATAAGCCCTAATAAAAGTGCCTTCTGTCTTTCTCGGCTTCTTTACATAAAGAAATCATCTGAGCCATTTTGATGTGGCAGCACCTGAACTTCACCTGCATGATAATACCTATGGATTTGCGTCCAAGTATCAACATTTAAAGTTTATTAGGTAAAAAACAAAGGAAAACAACAGGACTTTTAGAGATATTTCCCTGTGACCCCCAGAGCTGTATAAATAAAGACGTGCTACACAAGCTCGTATTCTCCTGCATTCAACTGCTAAATGCTCTGAATAAAACTGGAGGACCACTGTTAGCCAACAGAATTGAGTCCTTTTTGTCACTGATAACAGATGAGCATCACAAGGTTTCCATAGTGGAAGATTTATCAGTGAGAACATTAGCATGATTTATGAGTTAATGTCTTGTATGGAGGAGCCTCATTTTCCAGGCGTGCTCCCGTGACTGTGCAGCAGTGTGTGCCTCATTGGCCCTATGCTCCTCCAAAGGGTAAGGCCCCTAAATTATGCTGAGCACTATGAGGAAACACTGACATACCACTCAGATTGCTTTTCTAAGGTTCAGATGCTGAGGATTCAAAACAGCAGTGAGTTTCATCTCCTAAACCAGGTGCTACGAACCTAACAGCCAGCATTGGCTTGATGACTTGCATATAAAGATGTTCACCTCTTACACCTTCCACAGTAATTCTATGTAACAGTCTTGCTGCAGCCAAGGTTTTCAGCACTAAAACATACCTTCAGTTTGATTAAATGCAGATTTAATTTAAATTTGCATTAAGGGCCTTTCACATTACAGTAAATAATTCAAAATCACTTTCTGCATTTAACTGTTCCTGAAGACAAGGAATTCCATCCTAGCCTACAGTCTGGGATCCAAAATCCAACTCCTAACTGTAACGCAGAGTGGATAAAGAGGAGAAAACCCACACAGTGATGCTGAGGATCACCAAAGTTCACAAAATCCATAACGAAGCACTTCCCTTTAGGAGCCAGAACATCACCAACTGGTACCCCCACTGCTTCAGCAGGAATACCTCCCCTCTATCTGAACACCGAATCCACCCTCCCTTGCTACCACCCACATAACTTTCAAAAGAATATTTCTATCAGGCTGTAATACCATAACACAATAGAAAGCACAGCAGTAACAGCAGAGTGGCAAAGTCCCAGGCTGCAATAAGTGATAATAAGACCAAACACAGCAGCTGTGGACGCAGAAGGAAAAAAAACAAAAACAAAAACTTACCTGTAGAAGATGTCAGGCAGACAGGGATCCCCAACAAGATCCCCTCACCTCCACTGCCAACCCTTAAATGAGGTCTGGGAAGGGGTGGATCCTGGCTCCAGCCATTCTGGTTTCGCAGCTTCATTGCATGCACCTGAGCTTCCCGGGTTGGCCTTGCCTTCCACCAGGTGCTCAATCACTGCTTCAGGCCATGACTTTGCATTTCTGCTACGCAAGCTATAGCAAATGGCTGAACTTGAAGCCCTCACAATTTTTGTCTGTTCAGTATTTCTGATAATCAGGGTAGAACTATTCCTCAACTGCTAGACCCAAAGTACCATGTCTTCACATGCACCGTAATTCTATTAATTGAAGAGTAGGAAGGCACTGACTAGTGAGATCTCACAGCTGCCTCCAAGACAAAAACATGACTCTCAATCCTTTGATTAACTCAGGTGTTAACTGTTCAGCCAAAGTACCTGATAACATAAATACAACCAAGAGAGAAGCTGCATTACAATTACTTGCTTATTTCACCTGCCATTTCTCAAACAAAGAAATAGTCCCACTTCTATTGTTCCTCAAACTGCCACCCCTGCACCTATGAAAATTCTCCTCCTAGTTTTTCCATGCCAAACTCACTGTTATTCATAAACAAAGAACCTACAGAGATGCTCAACAGGTTTCTCATGGAATCTTGCTCTTACACCAGGCTTGATTATAACTACATACTTCTATCATTAAAGATATCTGTCAACACAATTGTCTAAAAGGATCCTGAGCAGTGCTGTACCTACCAGTAGCACAAACTGTCAGTATTTTTAGCTATAAAAATTGATTTTCTTCTCCAAAAAACAATTCCAAGGTACTTTCTCTTGGCACCAACTGATGCTAACACATCCCTCTCCAGGTGCAATGAGCTAGCCTGTTCATTTACTTCCTATTCTCCTTAAATATATCCTAAGGAAGCATCACTTCAATATTGTAACTTTCTTGGCTAGAATGTAAACTATAATTCTCAAGCATCTCCATTGCTGTGGCACAGTATCAGTGCCTTACCAAAACAATACCAAGAATTTGTTGAGTCTGAGTGGATGATCAATAGATGCCAGGAAAGTTACTTCTTCATCCTAATTACAGGAAAGAAATAGCAGTTCTGAACGCTTAAATGGGTCTTTACTTTCAGTACTGTAGTGTTCTCGAAGCTGCTTTTCATTGATTCAAGTTCTGAATTAAGATTCAGCAGAAGCTTGAACTATTGGATGGAAATTTGAGGGGCATTCTTCACCGGCACCTGGGAGCTGTGCCACTTTGTGACTTCACTTCAGCCCTGTTGTTACAGTCACGCTTCCTAATCCAGTACATTTACATCCCTCTCATAACAAAATCTTTATTAAATCGTATCAGTGGTGTTTCTCAAGGCAAAAAAAAATCAGGGATCATCATCAGAAATGAGAAC